TTAAGAATTTATTTATTTCGACCATGAAATGGATGTTATCATAAAAATAAGTAATATGCTCCATATTTCGACATACATTATTATGAGTGTTATGAATTTAACTTTTAAAACTCAATCTCGAGTGGTATAGAGTATCTTTTATGATATAAGTTTAATGAAAAAAAATTAAATTTCAGCGCACTCTAACGTCGCTTTCTGGCTTCGCCCCTGAATCCATAGCAGGTGCATTCGAAAAGTGTGTCACCTTTGATTTCTCTTTAAACTATTAACTCGGAGAGAAAGCCCTTGTTTGAGCTCTATTGTCTAAAAACTCATTTTCAGCCACACATTCTGTCAATAAAATCATTTTGTACATAAATCCAAAAATTTTCCTTACTTTTTAACCACACTTTTTCAGAGTGAAAGAATAAACTACTTTATTACTTGGCAAGCAAACGACACATGATTTCTTTTTTGTGTTGAAGTGTCTTCGATCAATGCTTGCAGTATTTCTTCTAAACCCAGATTACAAGACGAAATACTATGTATGAAGAAATGTGTCAATGTGACCTAATGCCGGGCATAACCATTTAAGGTCCATTTGATTGCAAAAGGGAAAAATGGGTGGAAAGAAAATGAATTCTAGATAATTGAATTACCTAGAAATTGTTTTATTGAGAATTGTAATTAATTGTATTTGATTGATATAATTTTTCACCTGGAAAATGTTGAAAGTTCGGTGTCTGTTTGACTTTATTTTTCATGAAATTGTCCATTAAAATGATAATTTCTTTTACCATTAGGTGTAGAATTTGTTTCACTTGCCAAAAAAAATTTTTCTTTAAAAAAATTACCATATAAAATATCATTCGTTTGACTTTGTTTTGCATGAAAATTATCAATAAAAATGATAAATTTTTTTACTATTGGGTCTAGAATTTTTCCCAATTACAAAAAAAAAGCTTGGAAAATGAAAACCCACCTAAAGGTGGGAAAGCAATTTCAACAAAATCAAGGAAAATGTGCACGTGTGAGAGAGTGATTTTCCTAACACTACAAAACTTGGAAAATGGAAAAAATTTCCATGGAAAATGTTGTGTATCAAACGGAGCCTTATTTATTTATTTATGCTGAGTAAAGAATTACTTCTAAATATTTGTATCTTTTTGTTTATCATGCTTTATCCTGCAGGCTCTATCGAAACCTCCTAAGTCCATCAAGGGTGGTATCTCCATTTGCTTTCCCCAGGTTAAGTACCAACTTAACTAGAATGAACTGCTACATCTTATGAAGCTGGAGCTGTGTGTTCTTATCTTTACTTTTTTATTTTAGTTTTCCAACTTTGGTTCACTGGAGCAACATGGATTTGCAAGGAATAGACAATGGTCAGTTGATGATTCCCCTTTACCTACGCCTCCATCTAACAATCAGTCTACTGTGGATCTTATTCTGAAATCCGCAGAAGGGGATTTGAAGACTTGGCCACATAGGTAAGGATGCGAATATTATAATCAATAGAAGAATGAAAAATTCTTACCTGAGCTTCTTCTGGTGCTTTTTGAAGATTTGAGTTGCGGTTACGTGTTTCTCTGAGTGCCAACAAGCTCACCTTGATCCCTCGTGTGCGAAATACTGATAGCAAAGCCTTTTCATTCACATTTGCTTTGTGTAATTACCTATCTGTATCTGATATCAGGTTTGGCTCATTAACTTTTCAAGTTATTCTTCCATACAAGGTTAAACTATTTTATTGCTAATCCACAAGACCTTTTGTTGAGTTATTTCTTTTCCAGTTTAGATAGCATCCTTAAGTTATTTGTTTTATATTGATGAGGAATTCCTTTCCCTTTTTCAATGCTAAATCTGTTAGATACTGTATCCGTTTCAGATAGGTTGCATGATGCCATTTGATTTGCAGTGAAGTGCGTGTGGAGGGCTTGGAGACACTTGACTACCTGGATAATTTGTTGCAGAAAGGAAGATATACAGAGCAGGCAGATGCAATTACCTTTGACGGCGAGGTAATGTCTTGCATTTTGCCAGTATATTTTCGCCATGTGCGTGTCAGGATCACATGGGGGTAGATGCACCATCCTAATTCCAGTACTTTCATTTGCTTATACCTTAGACTGTTCTGTATCATTATAGATTAACCGCGTGTATTTGAGCACACCAACAAAGATAGCCGTAATAGACCACGAGAAGAAGAGAACCTATGTAATGCGCAAAGAAGGCATGCCAGATGCAGGTTTATATCTACTTTTCATGTTATTGTTCAGGTTTAAATTTTTAGTTAGTTGCTTGTATGTGTAATATGGATACAATGTATTTGACCATGATGTGCAGTTGTATGGAACCCTTGGGACAAAAAAGCGAAAGCTCTTCCAGATTTAGGCGATGAGGACTACAAAACTATGTTATGTGTAGACTCTGCTGCTATTGAAACCCAAGTCATCTTGAAACCATCTCAAGAGTGGAAGGGCCGTCAAGAGCTATCCACTGTGTCCTCAAGTTACTGCAGTGGACAATTGGATCCTCGTAAAGTCCTTCATGGCTTCAGCTGATCATACGGAGTTTAGCATTTTGAGATATGTATAATATTAGTTCATTTTGCTTTTTCTGCAAATGATAAAATGCTTGTTGTTCAATGAGCTTTCTCATTTTTCGTTTTGCGATCACGAGGATGTGCCATATTATTTCTGTATTTTACTTGACAAAGAAAAGTACGATTTGTCCTGTTCTAAAATTTGATATCATAATAGTCTTTGGGGGTTGTGCTTTAAGTTGATTTACTAATTAAAATCCGAGGTAGATGAATATTCCTGTATATATATAGGAGAGAGCAGAGATTGGTAGCTTGATACATAATTCCAGAGCTACTTTGAAATCTTTAAAACTTTGAACAAGACTTCCGGAAAATCTTTCTCATCATCTCATTCTTATTTATCAATTATTAGGTGCTACAGCGTAGACTTGTTCTTATTCCTAACAGAATATAAAGTCCAAAGTCCGTCCTATAAAAGAGAAAGAAGGGATGTCCCAAACTTTTCCTTGGCTTCTTTGTCAAATGGATCTTCTCCCAAGTACATGTGAATGTAGGCCCTGCAGAGTAGTTCACTTTCAACTGTGCTCACAATCTCACCCATAACTGCATTTTCCATAAGATTGAGTAAGATACTTGTATTCATATGCCTTTTTATCCACAAAATTTGAAAATTTATCACTTTTGTTTACCTTTTGTTTGGAGAGTGTATCCTGGAAGCCTAGATATCTCAATAGTAGAACCTGGCATGAGCTTTATCTCATCCGATGCTTCTCCAGATAAAGCAGGTAAGACAGTGTGTGTGTGTGTGTGTGTCTGTATAGAGATAGCCGACGGGGGAGTCGAAGGGGTGGGGTGGGGTAATTATGTGAAAAGAGTGTAATTACTTTTTGGTGAGTTCCTCATTTCTCCCACCAGTGAGCTTTTTGATGGCTGCTCCAAGGCCTTCATCGAAGTTCTTCCTTACCATGTTCACGGTGAGGCCATTGTAAACAATAACCAGTCGTACCATCATTCCCACATCACTGTCAACCACCATTTGATACATTTCCTTTGTTGGTTTCGACGGTGCTTTCCCAACTTCAGTTGTTACAAGTTCTCTCAAAATCTCATTGTCTGCATATATCCCTGTAATTCGACACCTACAGAAATCAACTCTACGGTGCTTTCCCAACTTCTGTTGTTACAAGTTCTCTCAATTTCTCATTGTCTGCATATATCCCTGTAATTCGACAACTACAGAAATCAACACACTTTGCAGTCAATTAGTGATTGTGAGATATTCTCCCTGTCCTGACATGATAGTATGAACAGGGAGAAAATTTGTTTTGATCAAACAACATGTAGCCTTTATCCTCGGATAAATCATGCTTACTCTAGTATCCTAGGAAAAAAATTACATATGCGATTCAAGTTGTGTAAAACAATAGGCGAGTAGGTAGATGGAGAAGTTGTAGATTACCAAAGGCATAAATTTTGATGCCCATGCCAAGCATGCTCTTCTTTCTCAAACCAACAGCTTTCAGCAGCTTCCCATTATCCAACTTACCTGGAAAAGAAATCCCAGTTTTGGCTTCAATTTCATCAGGCACTGGCACTTCATCCTCCTTAGCCTCGTCTTTCTTGTTCTCTTGTACTTCCTTTTCCACAGAACTATCCCTGTTGTGGTCAACCTTGGGTTCTGCCTCATTGTCCTTATGGTCGACTACAGTTGACTTCATAGCAACCATCTCAGCCTTTGCAGTGACATCCTCCACAGTGGTCGGCATTCTTAATTTAGCAAATGTATAATTGAGAACACCGAGCAGAGTTGGATATTTAGATGAGAATTGATTGGAGACCTGAGTTGAGAGTTGAAAATGAGCTGGTTTATATAGGGAGTTGTGGTGTGAATGGAAAATCAATTTTGTAGTTGCTTAGGGAGTTGTACCATTTCTTAAATTAGGTCTCTGCCTCGGTATGAGCATTATGATAAGGGATGTTAAATTTGCTTCCTGTTAGCTCATTGAATGTTTCATCATCTTCAAGAATTGATCATGTGTTTTCTTGATTTCAGCATTGCTTCTTTGCATAAATGTGAATTTCTCCAAAGTTGAAGAAATTTGGGTTATTATCTCATGCCAATTTCTGTGCACTGAAATGTTGGAGTTTTGTTTCTCATAGTTTGTTGTTTGAGGTGAAGTGTAGGATACTAACTGTAGTGAATTTGATTGATTTTTCAATCAAAAGTACTATGTAGTGGAGGACATATTGCCCCGTTTGGTCCCCATTTCTTGAAACTTGTTTTTCCAAAATCATTTTCAGTCACACATTTAATGAGATTCACAAATTTTATCAACTTTTGAACAACGAATTTCATTAACTTTTATCAAAATATACTTTAGGTTGAGCTTGGTATTCTATGAAGAGAATTGAATTGATGCCTTTGTACAAGTGGATAATAGGTGCCCATGTCAGAAAATGAAATCTTGATTGGGCCATTGGATTGGCCTGTTCAGTATGAAGCCAACGGGCGGGCCCATCTATCGGGTATGTACATCTTGCATCCCTAGCCATAGAACCTTTAAAATGGAGCATCCGGGCATCCAAGCGTTTATCTTAGTATAAATTTAGGTCAAATTACTCAGGATTTCAGCCACTATTACGTGTTAATAATTTTTGGTTTATTAGTGTCCTATTCAATCCAGAAAAATATAGCAGCACAACAGGAAGAAAGAAGCCAATAATCTCGACAGTACTTGCTATCAAAGATCAGATCGATCCATGGAGATTCAAGCAGAAAATACAGAAGAAAAATTAAGCTTGAAGATAGAACTTATCATTGATTGAAAGATAAGAAAACTGAATGAATTACATCAAGGCTTGGACTGCCTTTTTATAATACGTCATAACAGAAAATTAAACTGCATTAACTAACTCCTAACTAATCTGTAATAACAACATGGAACTGAATTAATTAGAAAAATTGAAGCTAACCAACTCCTAACTTCTTCTAGCTAACTCTTCTCTTCTTTTCAACTCCATGTCGTCAATGTGTGAAGCAATACTCCAACACTTGCTAACGATATGGCGAGTAGCTCTTTCGTTATATAGAACCTAAGAATAAAAAATTGTGCTGGAATTGATCGGTTGAAAAAATGTCAGCATTAGATGAAGATAGAGATGGCAATGGACTTGACTCGACCCTTTAGTTCATGGGCCACATGCGCAATTTAAATGTTAAATTACTTTATCTAAAAAATATAAAATCATCATGTGATTATAATCATTCATGAAACTGTTAGGTGCTAAGTTCTTAATGCAATGATATGATAAGTAAATTAGGGCTGTTTTGATCACCTAACAGTTGACTTTCATTTATATTTATATGCTTTGATAATTTCTTTTAGTACTTTCTCTTGAATTTGAGGATGAAGGGCGCGTTTTTCTTCTGAATTCTACTACCGACATGCAAATAATAAGAAACGTGAACAAAACAAAATTTGATATCCGATGAATGGGGAGAAAAGTTGTGTAATTCTCCTTGACATCATAATTGATAGAATATTTATTTTTTCAAAATTATCTTTAGAAAAGATTCGAGTAAGTGAAATATTTGTTGTATTGTGCAAATTTTTCCATGTGAACAAAGTTGATTTTCGATGAATGGGAGACGAGTTGTGTGATCCTCATTGATCTTGTAATTGGTAGTATGTTGTTTCTTCAAAATTATCTTCGGAACAAGACATTTAAATGAAATTCACATTCGTTGTATTGTGCAATTTTTTCCACATGATGATAATAAAATGATACTCAGTGAATGAAGAGAAAAGTTGGGTAGTCCTCGTTGACATCAAAATTAGTAGAATATTTGTTTCTTCAAAATTATCTCCGGAACAATCTTGATTAGGCAAATGTCGCATCCATTGTATTTTTGCAAACCAAATTCCACATTGGATAAGTGAGAGAGAAAAGTTGTGTTCACAAGACAAAAACATAAATAATGTTAGGCCCCGTTAACATTGTAGTTAGTAATTTGCAAAACAAGACTTGACTAAATTCCTGTTTGGGATCGATTTTACAAAGATTATAATACGAGGTGGTCCCCATTTGAGCCGTATTTTTAGACTCGAAGGAAAATAAAATAACATAAATGTCATTTTTCAAGAAGAATGAGTTGAATGTGAAAAGAGACAGATGATTATTTTATGATAAAGTGGTATTATTCTTGTATAAAATACTTTCAAATTCCGTATGTTGTAATAAAATACTTCATCTTATTATTTCCTTCTAGAATTGAAACAATTTATCATCAAATGATAAATTGACAAAAAGCTGTCCGTCTTATCAATAAGCTAAATCGAATCATTAAAAAAAAAATGGTTTCATTTCGTGTGCAAGTTTAATTATATGTGTATGATTCCATTAAAATATCATCTATTTTTCCACGGGTCACCCCACCCCACCCACCCTACCCTAACCTTCAAAGCCCAAAGACTCTTCGTCCTTAAGAAAATAATTCACAGTCCATCCACTATTATATTCCAACACAATCAATACCTTTCGCCACATTACCTATGCAGATCAAGCAATACGCGGGGACATTTTTCAATTTCCATTAACAATTCGAGATTTTTTCCTTGATTATATAGGGTTCTTCTTATGCTTCCAGTTCTCATTGATCTGCTTCATTTTGAAAGAATTTTGGAGGTGAATTATGTGAAAACATGTATTTTGGGCTCAGTGATTTCATTTAGAAAAAAAAAAAATTGGGCTGTGAAGAACTTCGGTACTTCATTTATTTAGTTGGGTAAAATTGCTCGTGACTATATTTTTATGAGGGTTTTACTTCACATGTGTGGAAAATTTGTGGAAAATTTGTGTAAGATTTGATATCGGGACTACTTGTAGATAATTGCTTTTATTTAGAGGGTTTAGAGAAAGAGAATTAGTTAAAAATGGGATCTGAGAATGGGTTTTACTCTGGAGCAGAATTTAATTTGGAACCCAAATGGTTGGTAGATCCGAAACTTCTGTTTGTTGGTCCGAAGATTGGAGAAGGTGCGCATGCCAAAGTGTACGAGGGAAAGTAAGTTGACTTTCATTCTTCTGGCTGAGTCTTGATTGAAGATGGTTTACAATGCAGAAATCTAAGTATTAATTTCGAGCTTTTAAGCTTATATTTAATAAATCTTTTGATTGATTTCGAATCACTTTATTAACACCTATAAATTCTGCAATTTTAGTGGTTTTTTTAATGATCTCTAAATATTAGCATTAAAAAACTTCGGTAAATTATCAATGTTTCAGTTTTTCAAATGTGAGAATTAATACATTTTCGATGCAGATTTCTGATGTATAAGGTTATTATGCCGGGCATTGGCAGTTTCCCCTCTCTGTGAAGCAGTTAGCTAACCTTTCTTATTGGTCATTTTTCAGATACAAAAACCAGAATGTGGCTATCAAAATTGTTTACAGAGGTGATACACCGGAAGAGGTTGCCAAGAGGGAGGCCAGATTTGCTAGAGAAGTTGCAATGTTATCCAAAGTCCAACACAAGAACATGGTTAAGGTTCTGCATTGATTATCAAACTAGTAGGGTTTATTATAGTGTTGAGATGTTGCTTCCTAATACAACCACGTTCATGACTATACATACATACATACATACATACATACATACATATGTGGATATTGTATATTTATGCTCGAATAACGCATATGCATCTGGAGAGAGTAGTGACTGTGTGTAATGACTGTGAAATGTGGTTGTTCTATATATATAGGTACATACCTACCTCATGCTATGGTATGTATTAATATAATGAGATATTTTTGATGTGTAGATGCTGAATTTCATGATGAAAACTACAAGTTGCTTCCAGCATTTTGACCCTTTTTTCTCTACAGTTTATTGGGGCTTGCAAGCAACCTGTCATGGTCATTGTAACAGAGCTTCTGCTTGGTGGTACATTGCGAAAATTTTTGCTAAACATGCGCCCAAGGTGCTTAGATATGCGAGTTGCAATTGAGTTTGCGCTTGACATAGCTCGTGCAATGGAATGTTTGCACTCACATGGAATAATACATCGCGACCTTAAACCCGGTACGAGTTTCAATAACTAAAGTGGAACCCGAGGTGACTAATAAGAGCAAGAAAATAAATAAACGGGTGCTATTTATTTTTCCTCAATGCTTAAGACAATGTTTTCGTAGTATGTATACCATTGTTGTTGTATAGTGTTTTAAACTATACATGTCCTCTTTAAACTATTTAACTATAATTATTCAATTTTTGAACCAGGGATTCATTAGCTCGGGATTAATCAATACTTCAAAAATTCTAGCTGTCCTGATTAAATAAAGTTATCATCCATATGAGGATACAATTTGCACATTTTAAGATGTATGCACTCATCATTATGTGAATGTCGAGGGAAAAAACTGAGGACTTTTGTGGTTATATTGAAGTTTGGAACTGAGTTTGTCACATATCTTGCACAATACTAGTGAATTTTTATATACTCAAGACAGAATTAAGATTTTAGGTGCCGAGTGTCTGTCGTGTGGGCGTGCAGTGCCTAAATGGGGGAGAGGGGGTCTTTAGGATCAATTATAATCATTTAGGCTGAAAAGCCATTCTCAGTGTCTCACACAAGATTAGTTTTGAAATAACATGTAAAAAATTATTTATACAAAAATCATCTTTTAATAATTGAGCTGGACTCTTTGTTTACTGATCTTGGTTTCAGACATTTATTAGCATCAAATTCTTGGGAAGTCCAGAATGGACTAAAGATGTGTAACAGTATTTGTTATTTCATGATCCACGAGTCACCCTTTCCTTTCCTTCACTGAAACTATCTAATCCGTTAGTTTTCTTTCCTCCAGAAAACTTGCTTTTGACAGCAGACAATAAAACTGTTAAACTGGCGGATTTTGGTTTGGCAAGAGAAGAATCATTGACAGAGATGATGACTGCTGAGACTGGAACCTATCGCTGGATGGCTCCAGAAGTAGTTCAATTAACCTTTGTTGTTAATTTTCCGTACTTTTTTTTCTATTTTTGTTTTTCATCGACATGATTGCTGAAAATCTCTTCCTTTTTTCGGCTAATGGTTGCAGCTCTATAGCACAGTCACCCTTCGGCATGGAGAGAAGAAGCATTATAACCATAAGGTGGACGCTTACAGTTTTGCAATTGTGTTGTGGGAGCTCATACATAATAAGTTACCTTTCGAAGGCATGTCAAATTTGCAGGCTGCCTATGCAGCTGCTTTTAAAGTAATTCCCTTCTCTTAAATTGTTAATGTGTCGAATAGCCTTGAGTCAATAAAATGCAAATATTTTGCTCAATGCATTGGCTTAATATGTAGAAAAGATGCTAGCCTTGTTTGAGAATGTAGAAAAAACGTTAAATTTGGGCAATTCATCACGATATTGGGGATTCTTCTTGCTACGCTGCCTATCTTTTCCTTTTCCGTTTTCAGTGTCTCCTTTTTCTTTCTTTTCTTTTTTTAACTTATTTGATGATTCTAAGGATAACTTTGTTTGTGCAAATGGAAGGCACCATTGAGTTTAGAAAAGGCCACGTTTGTATGGTGTCATGCATTAACTCTAGTCTATTGTTTGTAACGTCCTTCTCAGAATGTAAGGCCAAATGCTGATGATCTTCCGGAGGAATTGGGTTCAATCGTGACTTCATGCTGGAAGGAGGATCCAAATGAGCGCCCCAACTTCAGTCAGATAATAAAGATGCTTTTGCACGCTCTCTCAAGAATTTCCCCACCCGAACCTGTTGAACCACCCAAGACTTTCACTTCTGAGAATGTCGTCTTCCCACCAGCATCTCCAGGTACAAGCTCCTTGATGGCAGGGAGAGATGACAATGGTGACACACCAATGGAAAACAACTCAAGGGGATGCTTCTCTTGTTTGGACCAGTGCTTCTAATCTCTATGCATGTTGGTACACAGTATTGATCAAGACTAGACAACATTAGTTGGCAAATTTTTTAGGTTCTTTTTCTTATTTAACACTGCCCGTCCTAGATAATGGAGTTTAGGTTACTGTGATGTAAGGTAGCTGTAAAATAAGGTCCATCCAAAGGCCTTTACTCCATTAATTTGTTTGACGTCATTATGAATAACCAATTATAGTGCCATTTGCACTCAATGCAACTGTGAAAGAAACCTTCTTGATATTAATAGTAGGTCATTGGCTTGTGTTTGTATGATATGTGCATCGAATAAAACTTAATATTTCAGGGGAAAATGGAGGCTATGTCTTATTATTCACACATTTCATGAGATTAACCGTTGTTCCTCTTAATATTCATATTTATAAATGATTTTTAATTTACCAAATGGAGTTGAAGTAGAAATTTTATTTTGCAATCAACTAATTGATTTAAATCCAAACTCTTGGATTTTTTTCATATTCATTTTCAATCACATATTCTCACAATAAAATATTGTTTACGTAAGTTTAGAACTTTTTCGTACGTCCATGTTTAATGGTCATTGTTTTGAGAAAATTGAGTCTTGAATAGTATTTTCTAAAGAATATATGGTTAAAAAATAAGAATTTTTTTGAGTTTACTAGCAAAATATTTATTGCGTAAATGTGTGGTTGAAAATGAGTATGAAAATTAAAGAGATTTGAAATAATGGTTGTTAAACAGGAGTTACATTTTAGCCCCTTGTTTGGTGCACATTTTTCTCCAAGAATGCATTTTTTTTATGTGACGGGGAATATGTGATTAAAAAAGAAGGAAAAATTATTGATGTGATGAAAAATATTATTTTGATGAAAAATGTGTGGTTAAAAATAAGTAAAAGAATAAAAATAAAAAAAATAATGTGGCTCAAACATGTGGTTAATCACATATTCTATAAAAAAATACTACTTAGAAACTCATTCTTTGGAAATAATGATTGTTAAACAAGGGTTTCGTCTCTGGATGACAATTTATGTACTAGTTTGATTGGACAACAGAATAATGATATCTAGTACCCGTAATAAATAATATTCCGTTTATACTCTCCAGTAAGTCCCATAATCCCAACCAAACGACATAAAGTTAGGAGTCATTTTTAATAAGCAAGTGGACAAAATGGTCATATCAATGCTGTCTCCAATCTCTATTGCAGCTTGGAGGGCAAGTAATCAAGTCCCCACCAAATTTACCAATTTACATCTAAAAGACAAAAATTTCAACCCCCGAAGCTCCGAGTCAGGCTTGGTCAACTGTGGGCCACGGACAAACACGCGGTTCGGTGCCTCGAATATCCGCCGAAGCTAAGGCTAGGACAATCCAAGCCTCTGATACTGTAACCATAACTGGGGTTTCCCGCTCATTCACACTCTTTTACTTAGCCGAGTAGAGAAAGAAGGAAAGCAACACACGCTCTCTAGGAAGTTTCGAATGCAATATATATATACAATAATGCCTATGTACAGAAGAAAGAACAATTGTACTTCAATCTGAAATTAGTTTTTTTCCTTTCTAATAAAATGAAAAGGTAAGAATATGATCTAAAAATACGAATCGATTTTCAATCTAATTATGAATAAGTTTTTGATTTGATTGATAATCATCTGTAAGTGTATTAATGGATTAATTGATAAATTATCCAGAAATATCATTGTTGTGTTTTTGGAAACTCTTATTTTTATTATGATATATGGTTTTTTTTTTTTTAATTTAGTTGTTGTTCTGAGCTCCGGGAGCAATATTATTATTTGTAAAAATTCCGATGAAAGTGAACACTTTTGATAGGGTTACTAAAGGTTTGATATTCAGGCCAGGCTGATCTTTTGCCCCATATTGGGTTGTATTTTTACCGATTTCATTTTTTATTTTATTTATTTGGGAGGAGGAGGATTGATCATAAACTGAGAAAATGCAGCTTGTGGTTCTTGTTTGAGATTGTGCTCGAATCAGTAACCTCTTTTTTTTGTCTGTGGTCTGTATTTAATCTAATTATTGAATTTATCTTGTTGAATTTTCATTTAGCTCTGTTAGTTGTGACTATGTTTTCTTAAAGTTCGCAGTATGTTTCTTTTGTATAGTTTGAGTTATTGTGTAAGTGATGCAGGAGTTGGCTAATTGATGGCAGAGGATTTGCTAAGAAGGTGAAAAATGCCACCCTGGCTGCTGCATCTGAAATCAAAGATTGTGGAGCGAGCCGTGAATGCCCAAATTGCCACTATCGAATTGATAATAGTGATGTAAGCTGAAATTGTTTCGCCAGTACAAGTTCCTTTTTTTGATACTTGAGCTGTGGATAATTCTCTTGTGAAGCAATTGGCTCATTGAGAGATTAATATCTCAAAGCAACTATGTAGCCTAATCCATAACTTTAAAATCTGGAGTGGAAATTGAGAATTTGTGAGAGTTGTGCTATCTGCTATATGCATATCTAATTACAGAAGATGATAATTCTTTTGTAGGTAAAAATTTAGACTTCAACTCAACTCATAATTTCCTCCTATTCAGGTTGTTGATGAATGGCCTGGGCTCCCTGCTGGTGTAAAATTTGATCCATCTGATATAGAGCTGTTAGAACATTTGGCTACAAAAATTGGGGTAGGAAAGTCAAAGCTACATGTGTTCATTGACGATTTCATCCCGACTCTTGAAGGTGATGAGGGAATATGCTACACCCATCCAGAAAATCTCCCTGGTGAGTGAGCACTTGACAACTCCACATATGTAGTTAATTAGCTGTGAATTGACGTATGACAAACTTAAGATTAGAGGAAATTCCAGCTAAACGAAGGAGAGAGCGTATTGTCTCTGCCTTTCTCGTAAGTAGAAGCACCAAGTGAGAAAAGCAGGAGTGTAAAAATAATGAACTACCTCTCATAGTTCTATGATCTGGTAAGGAATTTGAGCACTATCTTTTATTTGACTAAGAAATAAATCATTTCAGAAGCATTGGTTAGTCAGTATGACATTTATATGGAATAGGACATTTTACGGACCTTTCTCAGGTCATGATTTCTATTGGCTAACTAATGTATCCATATTGTGTGTGAATTTCTCACTTGATCTTTGCAGAATACTTCATACAAAGGAGAAACTCATATATGCCACAGTAATGGACAAATTGTTTTGCAACTTTGGGTTATGATTCCATGTGTGTTAAAGCTGATCGATTGGATGTAATTTCTAGTCTCAGGATGCCATTGCTAAATCATCTTCTGGCTTTCATTTAGGTGCTAAAAAAGATGGAAGCAGTGTCCACTTCTTTTTCCGGACAGTCAATGCGTATGCTAATGGTCAGCGGAAGCGCAGAAAGATTTATGATCAAGAAACCTCGGTAAAGTGTTATGTCCGCTGGCACAAGACGGGAAAGACCAAACCTGTGATGGAAAATGGGGTACAAATAGGTTATAAGAAAATCTTGGTTCTCTATGCATCAAAGAAGGGATCTAAGCCTGATAAATGTAATTGGGTTATGCATCAATACCATCTGGGGACTGATGAAGACGAAAAAGAAGGACAATATGTTGTTTCAAAAATTTTCTATCAGCCATGGAAGGAGATTGATAAGAATGAAACTTCTTTGGTCATTGAAGAATCTGATTTGGAAACTGTTCCCAGCACTCCCAAGACAAATACTCCTGATCCTCCTCGACCAGAGAATACCCCCCTTTCTGATGTCGCCATTGATGATTATGCCATTCGATCACTTGTCCAGGTTGGTAACAACTTCCATGTTCTTGTTTTATTATACCATTTAGTTCAGTGGCTGAGTTGAGAGTGCATTTGTTCATTTAAGATTTTATAGGATATTGTTAAACTAGATTTTCTTCTAAATAATTAACCTATCAATCTATTATATGTTAGAGTAGGAAGTGGAGACTCTCAAAGAGTCATCTCATCCCTCGTCAAAATCTCAGTTGATGGATGAAATGGAGCATCACCCTTGCTTGGATGGAGAGTCGAAAGCTGTTGAATTAGGTCGAGAGGGTTCATTATTATGCAATGAGATAATTGATTCTTATGCAATGTTTGGTAATTTAAATCCAAACAATGCTCCATCTACTCAATTTGCTCATAACATAATCAATGCAAGCCAGAGAGATGACGCTACCACTTGTGGAATTTCTGATCTTGAAAATTTGGAACTGGATACTCCACCAGATTTCTTGATTGCAGTAAGCTGCTTCTCCTGCCACTTTGTAATGAACTTAGTTTTAAAAGCTTTTCATAAATTTAACACGCGTGTCATTCGTATCCATTGGTGCAGGACCTGCAGTTTGCATCTCAAGACAGTGCACTTGAATGGCTCAACCAGTTATAAGAACACAATGGATTCTACCGAAGTTTATGGCACCAAAGGGGACGTAGTATCGACAACAAACTGAAATTGTAGATCACGAAAGTAATACGGGAAGCATTTGTGGACCAGGACCAGTTCTCAACCTTCTTCATANTCGGAGACCAGTTCTCAACCTTCTTCATATACCAGCTAATACTTCTAATTGCAAATGTTGTAGTGTCAAAGTCATTCATTAAGAATGCTACAAGTGAATGTTTAGTTGAAAACTTATTGACTCCATATTTTTTGCATTAAGCATCTTATTTGTTAACAGATCATTAGGATGAAACTTTGCATACTTATGTGGAAATTATAGAAGTCCGAACTTTTCAGCTTCACGACTTAACAACTCTTTTTTTTTTTACCCTAAATTTTCATAACGATTCTGTATTTTGTAAAAGAAATAGGATTTTGGTTATATTATATATATTTATTTCTCTTTTACGTTTTTCATTCAATGTACCATTTCTCACGTAGTATTTATATTTTTTAATTATAAATAATTTTAAATTACATTAAATGAATTAGTTTAAATCCATTAAATTCCTAGAAAATGATCTATTGGACCGGCCACCTCGTAATGTTATAGTTGAAAGACAATGCAAACTTAGCTCAAATCAT